AAACCTTATGATTATAGTTGAAAGTTCAAACCTGTTTTCGATCCAGAAGCAGCAGATGGAAGCAGTCGATCGAGAAGAAGATGGAAGCAGTTTGATCGAGAAGAAGTAGAAAGCGATTGCCGTCTGCCGATTGGGAATCTGGAATTTGGGAGAAACCGAGAAAGAACGGAGCGGGAGCGGTAGGGTTAACCTAAAAGTTAAAACTTGAAAGTTAAAAAGAGGGAAATTCGGTCGGTTAATAATCGGATGTATGGGTCAGTTTAATAAATGGATGGTATCGATCGGTTATTATTGGATGTACAAATTGGATGGTAAGTCGGTCGGTTGTTTTCGGTTATGGACTGCCATCCAATAACCACCGATCCAAATTGGATGTTGAAATTTTCGTATCCAATCCGATCCGATCACAATTGGATATCCAATCATCGACGGTCGGTTCTAACTGGATCGGTTGATTTTCTACACACCTCTAATTTAAATACATGAACCTAGAGGTAATCACGGACCAGTCCTACTAAGAAATGTTTGGACTGTTGGTCCGGACTGATCTGATGACATCATGTTCTTGTCTAAATGCATTCTTTTTGATGTTGAGTTTTAGATAGAAAACAATAAAATGAAAGAAAAGAAGGATAGCGAGAAGCTTTCATAGCTCAGTTGGTTAGAGCACCCGTTTAGTAAGCGGGAGGTCTTGAGTTCGACTCTCAATGAAAGCAATTCTCCCTTTTTCTATTTCTATTTCTTTTACATGCTCTCCCTAATTCTTTAGGGTCGTTTACTAAACACTTATTTAGTAAGTGTTTAATGCATAAATTAATGCATAAATTTTCTTATCGTATGGACACTTACTTAGGGTCAATTTATTCTTATTGGGTTGGATGTTAAGATATGTAAACAAAGTATTCAAAATTAAGTAGTAACGACTGATATGTGATAGTAAAAATTAATTATATTAAATACGATTTAGTTTTATTGTTTCAGTATTTTTGTATAAAAACCAGGTTGAAGTTTATATAAGGGTTTTTGGTCAATTTTAAGTTACAAAGATAAGATTATGTATGAATCTTTCAATTGATTAAAATCTGAATAATTGATTTTGAGTTTTTCAATAGAAAACAATACAAAAACTAGAAAACCTAATTTTAGAATGATAAAATTGGAGTTCATTTCTTAATGGTTTTCAATGAATTTGGTGTTAAAATATCGACAATAAGCTTATTTATTGTAATGATAGAAAAAGAACGATAAAATTATATCGTCTTTAACATAATTATTATTTTTTAATTTAAACAAACCAAATCGTAAAACCATATGTTATTTTATTCATAAGATATGGTTTTATGATTTGATTTGTTTAAATTAAAATTTTAATTACATTAAAACCATATATATTCTTCCATCATTATAATAAAAACAATAAAATTAAATCGTATTTAATATAATTAATTTTAAAAAATTAAACAAATCCAATCATACAATAAGATCCATTTTTTTTTTGATATTGTTATATATATATATATGTGTGTGTATAAAAATATTGTTTTTATTTATTTTTATAGGAAAAAGACAAAAGAATAGACACAAAGCTAGAATAGCCCTTGATTTAACGAAAACGTTAGTCAGAAGGATTACGACTAAAACAAATTGAATACCACAAAGACCAACTCCATAATTAGTTAAAAAAAATATCAAACCACAGATGGACAATTAGTTGTATATTAAAATTTCTTAGGGATCGTTTACCCAATTGCTTACCCGGTAAGCGCTTACTCGGTAAGCGCTTACTCGGTAAGCGCTTACTGATAGGAGTCAACACTATGATTTATTTTGATGTGTAAGATTTTAGTACATCGAAACATATCGAATGCAACAAGTTACTGGGTAAACGCTTACATAGGTAAGAGTCGTCATCCTCACTTTCCGGGTAAAATTCTTGGCCCTTCTCTCTTACCCGGTAAAATTCTTGGCCCTTCTCATGTTCATATGATAAATAAATTTATCCGGTAAACACTTACCAAGACCCAATTAAAAGTTTAGTAAACTGCCCCTTAGTTCAGACAAATAATTTTTTGTTATGAAAAAAATAATCATGTTCTTGGAAAGTTCAAATATTTTGATGCATTATTAAGTTAAGTTCTAAATAATTGTGAATAAAATACAAAAACTAAACTGATATGATAATCAAAATATTATTAAATACATACAAGGTTCAAAATGACATGAGGTGTGGCATGTTAGCAAGATCAAGCCTTAAGTCTTACACGCTACAACGAGGACGTAGCATTTTTCAATGCTTGGCATAAGGTGACAAATTCGTATGTTATATATAGAAGTTTATATACACATAATATGTTTTCTATATATTATTCTAATAAGCTAATTATATTAAAAAATGTACATTCGTATTAGAAGAAAAAAACCATGTAGGTTATTATTATTATTTATTAAAATAGTTTTTAATAGAACATTTAAAGCAGAACTTAGAAAGAAAATTTTACAACTTCGTTTTTTTAGTCGTGAATACATATTGTTTATGAATTCGTGGAATTGTGAATAACGTGATTACATAAATCTATAAAAGTGTAAAATTTAAAGTTAAAAGTATCAAAACACAAGAAATAAAAAAAATTCATTTTTCTTGAAAAAAACTCATGTCGTATAAAAAGTGCATGCCGCAGCACGCCATGGCATGAGCCACGCCTTGTAGAAATGCTATGGGTCATTTCGTAACGACGGAGACTGTCTTACGCCATGTTGTGTCATGGTGCACGTCATGACATTCCTTTTTGATCACTGAATACATAATAACTTGAAGGATTTCATATGACTTTTGTTATAACTACCCATTATTCTTAGGGCCGTTTAGTTTACATGATTGTTTTTTAGGGCTTTGGATTTCATGGAGGGATTTGGATTTGGATTGGAATAGATTTGAAATCATTGATGTATTTGGTTTGTAGGATTTGAAATGAAATTGGATTTCATTATTTATAAATAATTTATAGAAAAAATTATAAATAATTATAAAAATAATTGAATTACATTTTTATTAATCGATTATTATAAAACAAATGTTTTTAACATTTTTTAAAATCTTATTGCATATAATCCTGCGAAATCCTGAGCACACTCCCTAAGGATTTCAAAATCCTATATTTGAAGGACTTGAAATCCGGATAATCCAACAAACCAAACATGAGATTGAAATGGATTTGAAATGCAAATCCCCCAAAATCTATTTCATTACTTTAAACCAAACGAGACCTTATAGGATTTGACAACGACTTTTATTATTTGTTTGCATAACCGATGTGTTTTAATCTTAATTTATAATTATGTTTTAATTATTTATAGTTTGATTATATACTAATAATCTTACGTTAATCGTACTTATTTTTTAATACTTTGCTTGTATATTTCTGTGTCCAACCAAAAAGATGTGAGAATTTTTTCTTATTTTCTTTATTTTTTAAACCAGAGATTTTCTAACGTAAAAGTATTTAATCAATTTAATATTTTTTAAATAAATAAAAATATTTTTATTTAATATGTATCTTAGTTAATAAATAAATATATTTCTAACATAAAATATTTCTTTTAATAAAATTTTTTAAGTGAAACATATTAAATTTCAAAATAATTACACTCTCTATCCTTATAGTATTTCAAATGATTGATTAGTCTCACAGAACGATTGTTAATTGACGATGTTAACTTTAGGAATCCTAAGTGTTGTGAAATTGAAAAGTTAGGGACCATCAATATAGATAATTTGGTTTAAAAACCAAATCCAAAATTCCAGGCATCAGAGACTACCAATGTAATTCGGTTTTTTTTTTTTTTTTTAACTTCGGACATTGCTTGAATGAATCCTGGTATTTACATCATAAGAATATGTCCAACAAAATCTTTAAAATGGAGAATTAAAATTCAAAATTTTAGTAAAAAATTGTATTTAATTCCAACAATTCTTCATTTTAGGATTAAAATATTCATTATATTATTAAAATATTTTATACATTTAAGAGTAATTTACATTTTTCGTCCCTATAATTTGTTAAAAATCACGGATTTTGTCCCTGTTGTCTTGAAATTTCGATTTACATCCATATGGTTTGCAATTCATTTCTATTTTTGTCCCTGAGGCCAAAACACTACTTTTAATTATGAAGGATTAAAACATGAATGAGTTCTAAACCACGGGACCAGAAAAAAATAAATTTTAAATGAGAAAAATGAATCAAAATGGAACCAACTTTCACTTGATTCCTATTTTGGGGAACCAACTTTTAAAATTGTCATTTAGGGGTCTCTATCAAACTTTTTGTTTATTTAAGGGTCTGGTTGACCTGTTGACCTGTTAATGCTGACATCATTCATATCTTTAGCCAACTAAGATATTCCAAGTCATATTAATTTTTTATTTTAAAACTAATATTCCACGTCATATTAAAAATTGTAAAATAATTACAGAAAAATAACTAAAATTCGTTTTTTTATAAAAATTATTGTAATAAAATATATTTTTCATTCCAAATCTCGTTTTTTTTTTAATTCATATATCAAATTGAAGATATTTTAGAAAAAAAAAATCCAAATTACCAAAATAAAAATTATTTTTACTAATGCAATTAAAAAATGTATCAATTTTAAAGTTTAAATCAAATTTGGCAAATCAAACCACAATAAAAGTTTGTTCACAACGTTCAAATCATCAAGATTAGAATAAAGTCGATGACAAGACATTGTTACAAAAAAATGGTTGAAAATCTTCATTCTTCAACTGTTTGAATCATCCTTATCAAAGATAACAATCAACCGTAAACTATGAAACTGATCGAACTTCATCAGAAATTTGTGCATCACCTATATCAACTTGCCCTACGTAAACATATGCAAGTTAGTGCAAATATGTAAGTTATATGCAAATATGCAAACAAAGTGTGATTATACATATTGAAAATAACTTCCGCACCAGTAATTGGTATACTCATCTCAAAACTAAATTGTGAAATCTACAAAATAAACGTACTTTTTAGCTACAATATTTGATTCATTGAAACACAATGTGAATCACAATTATTATACTTACTCCTATAATCGTATCCCGTGAACTCGTACTTCTTGAATTCCTTCCTCTTAAACCCCTTCCTCTTATATTGCTTCCAATAACTAAATCCTCCTCTTCTATATTGTTTTCTCTCGGTCTACCAACTGGATTTTTTGGCCGAATTGGTGCATCTTTCTTTTTATTTTACAACTCCTAGAATTATGTTCTATCTCCAAACAATTTCTGCAAGTCATCTTTCTCCCCGATTTGGCTACAACTTCATGGCCATATGCATTTCTTCTAGTGTGGCTACTTCCTTCACTTGCATCTTTCCTTCTGGCTATTGTGGGCCTGCCAGGCATGCGTCTAGACTTTGGGGGAAAAAGTTTGGCAAAATCTGTCCTTGGCTAAAGTTTGATCCCATTCAAAGGGTTGATTCTATGATTATATGTATCACTGAACTTTATTTTTGAGAACATAGGAGACACAACTTAGTTGGATCTTGGTGAATGAAGTATATCGCTGCAATAGCATGCGGACAAGGAATTCTAGAAACTTGCCAACTTCTGCAAGTGCATGTTCTACATTGAGTGTTGACAACGAAACCCTCTAGTCCTTGTCTTACTTCAAAAAGATTCCCTTCATTGGGAGCAACACGTCAAAATCTGCAAAAAAATATTAGCAAACCATAATGTTATATTTATGAAACAAATTACCTTATATGCATAAAGCATAATAATCATAAACATACCCCATTAACTCCTTATTTTGCTCAACTTTCTATCATATATTAGGACAGATTTCATCATCCCAGTTGCATGCTTTGTTGTTCATCCTAACCATTCTTTCCATCACAAGAGTTCTAATCTCTTCGAGCATTGTTATTATAGGTTTTCTCCTAGATGAGACAATCAAAGAGTTAAAACACTCACTTGCTCCGTTTTCTACAGCATCACATGATGTGTCGATCTTGAAGAAAGCCCTTGACCATGTTGACGGTTGTCTTTCCATCAAATGTTCATAAGCATGGAGAGACAAACTTATAATTTCTTGCATAATTCCTTCAAATTCTTGTGGTGTCCTTGACTTGGATGCATCCCAAAACAAAGATCTGAAATGGATACCGGTGTACTTCTTTCTGAAATTGGCGTATATGTGTCTAGCACATTGACGATGCTCAGCAAGTGGGAATACCTCTTTAACAGCTTCAACAAGTCCCTGTATTAGCATAATGCAATTAACTAATTAGAAGATCACATTCATAATAGATTAGCAAGTGTGTGCAGTTAATTATTAGTATACTATTACCTTATGTTGATCTGACATCAATGTTACCCCTAACCCATCGGTCAATCCAATGTCCTCCATTAGAAAATTTAAAAACTACTTCCAACTATCTTTATTTTCAACCTCCACCACTGCCCATGCAAGAGGATATATTTGGTTGTTACCATCTTTCCTTATCGCACTTAATAATTCTCCCTTGCATACGGTTTTTAGAAAACATCCATCCAAGCCAATGAATCTCCTACACCCTGACAACCAACCATCTTTAATACCCTTAAAACACACATAAAATCTTTGAAAATAATTTCTATTATTTGGTCCTACCTCGACACTAATTTTAACCGTTGATCCTGGATTACTCCTTCTAATCTCCTCACCGTAGTCCCATAACTTTCCCCAATGCTCAATTAGAGTCGTTTCTACTTCCCCCAATGCCTTGGCCTTAGCCCTTTGACATTGACTCAACTGAACAATGCACTTGTATTTGTTTAGAATTGATTCCTTCAAATCAACTAACTTGATAGATGGGTTTTGTCTAATATTCCTCCCATGTTGTTTAGCAATCCAATTGGAATTCACAAGTGAACCTAACATGTAATTTCTCCCACACTTGTGCTCATCATTTAGTGACTTGACTTGGAATGATTTTTCATCCTTCATCCAAGATGCCTACAATCTCCATGTACAACTACTTTCATATCCTTTTTTAGGCGGTCTACACGCAACATGTAACTTGTCTTTGTTGTTTTTTAGATACCTTCATTGATAAAATATGTCAGAAAAACATTAGTAATTAAATAATAAATGTATGCAAGTAAAATCTTCAATGCGTTGTCTTAAGCTTCTAATACCTATGTTACTTACATCAAAATCTTTCAAATATGCAACTTTACCTCCATAATAGAATGGAGGTAAAGTTCCCCCGATATAAAGAAAAATCACGAGTACTTGTAATAACAATGAAACATGTAGTGAAGATTAAAACTAGCAACTTGAGAAAAAGGAAACTGAAATAATTTATTAAAATTAGAATGAAGGGACACAGTCTTACAGATCAGCCATCATAGAATATGTCATCTTATCTCATCTATAACCAAAGAGACTTCTGTTATTTTCTTTACACTTTTYAGTTTAGTTTTATTGAGTGTTTGTCTCCACCTTTTTTCAATGAACCAACTGGATTATTATATGCTTTAATGTTTTTTAAACTAAAGCTGATCAGAGAACCATTGCATCCATTAGCTGGTGAGATATTATTATTAGTTCAGTTTGTATATTATAAACCCACCCAACTAAAAGGATCTTGCAAAAATGTTTGTCTTTCAAGCCTATAAATTCAACAATAAGTTGTTACTTAAACCAGTGGTCTTGGTTGTGGAGAGTTTTAGGCATGTTTGCATATTGGGGAACGAGGGAAAGTTGAAATATTTTGGAAGTTTCCTTAGTAATTCTCCACCTGCAAGCAAATTGGATGTCCTGATTTGGAGATGGAAAAACAGTTGAACCTATGGCAGATTAAGTATTAAGATGCCTACTTTTCTAGTTGGTTTCTTATGCTTTTGGATTATGTGGTTGTAGCCTTGTAGGAATTGATATCTCATTGCATCTTTGCCTTAGATATACAACCATGCCAGGGTACTACTGTAATTGTGTTGTCCTATTGAACCCTTATAAAAATAATGAGTAGTGCATTAATGTTGGCTATTGGACTGTTATATAGACCAGTGCTTCTACCATGCTACTCTAAACATTTAGTCCTCTATTATGGGGTATGAACTAGTGTGGAAAGAGATAAAAGCTTTTGAATGGAAATGAAAAGAGATGGAACTCCAGTTCCTTTTGAATTATAAGATATTTGTCACAGAAAAAAGTTTTAATTACCAATCATCTGTTTATCATTGTTCACAAGTATCTCATACTTCTTCATGCAACAAAGATGGTAAAATGTGTTATACTTCAGAGATCTATTGGATTTGTGATTTATTATAATTAACAATGGCTTTATTGCTTGCAGTGGTATGCCTGAGTGTAAGCTTGGGCTAATGATCAAGTATTACTGGAGGCACAAGGACGGTCTACTAAAGGGAAAGCCATTGACTTGGATGACATCAAGTTCCACGAGTATGTTTTCGAAACTTCTGGTTCAAATGTTTTCCCCATGGTCAATGTTTAAATTGCAAGTAGTGCCATCAGAAACATTGATCCTCTATGACCATTAATTTTTTTTCTTCGTGTGGAGATGCACACTTGTATAAAGGAAAAATGTCTTAGAATCCCCACAACAAAATAGCGCTTTTGAAAATTCTACCCCACATGAACCTAATGCAAGAAGGTAAGAAAAGATGATATGATCGAATGGATGTGATTAAAAAGGTTGTTACAACCATCTCTTTTGTAAAAACAAAAACGACCCCCTTTTATGTTTTGATCAAAAAATGGGTGGAACATAACTGAATTTGAAGCCAAACAAATTATACCAAAAAAAGGAGTACTTTTATTTTATTTAATTTGACATCCATATTGTTGTACTTTTTCATCTGTTATTTCGTCTTTCTTACCGGCTTAGTCTTTCTCATTCTCATTTGAACTATTATATTTATAACACATATATCGGTATGTTCTTGTTTTCCTTTTGTTATCATCACTTGTTACTAGTTTGTTGACAGAGTATTGGAGAAATACAAAAACATGGTATGTATCCATTCAATTATTAGAACGAATATCACTATTAACAACCACACAATTCAAATCATAAAAACCTAACTTGGATTGTAATGGGAAAACAGAACTCTGAATGGGGAAAGCAGACAAAACCATTGCAAACAAAGTATTTCATCGTTGCAATCAGATTCAGGATACAATACCTTGTGAACGCCGCTGGGGCAGGCGTCGACCGAAGAGGCAGCCGGAAGGAAGATGTGAACAGCAACGTCTTGGGCAACGATGGCTGGTGCCGACGTGGACAGGAGAGACAGTCGGAGGAGATAGACGAGACGATAGATTAGGGCAACGCTGGCTGGTGTCAATGTCGTGGAGGAGACAGTCTGGAGGAGATAGTCGGGAGGCAACCGAAGGAGATAGTAGGGAGGAGAAAGGGAGACTCTTCACTTACACATAATTTTATTTGTTAATCTTTCTTTTAATAATAATCATGATTTGGCAAATTAATATCCACCTAATATATTTTTAAATTATTATTTGCTACCTCATAATAAATTACTTGTTATCTGCTCAACAGGTCAACCAGACCCTTAAATAAACAAAAAGTTTGATAGAGACCCTTAAATGACAATTTTGAAAGTAGGTTCCCCAAAATAAGAATAAGGTGAAAGTTGGTTTCATTTTGATGCAATTTTTCTTTTTATTATAAGAAACCCTGACATGTTTTTTTTTCTTTAATGACAAATAAACTTCACATTGAAAATGTCATTGATTGCACAAATTGAGAAAAAGATTGAAACTATAAAAATGTAAAAGTCTTTATTTTATTTTAGGAAACCATGACATGTTTTTTTTCTTTAATGACAAATAAACTTTACATTGAAAATGTCATTGATTGCACAAATTGAGAAAAAAGTTGAAAAATAAGGCTGAAAATTACTATAAAAATGTAATATTCTTTATTTTTAGGAAACTTTACATTGAAACCAAAATGTCACAAATTGAGAAAAAGGTTGAAAACTAAGAATGAAAAAAGTTTTCATCCTTATTTTTCAACCTTTTTTTCAATTTGCGCATTTCTTTTTTCATCTTTAGTTTTCATCCTTTTTACAACTATTCTGTCAAAATTTTATATGATTAAAACATGATTTATCACTCTTCTTAGAATATTACCAGTTCCACAAATTAAAATTATTTGGGTCAATGACTAATACATCCCCAATATTGTGTAATCAATAAGATATGTGTTAACAACTAAAGACGTACTTCAATGAATATTTCTGCCAAAAAAAAATATATATGACGAGAAGAGAGGATTTGGAGTTGAATCAAAATCATTGGAGAATAAATACACATATATAGGTTTGTGTTTATAACTGATTTGGATAATAAAAATCTGAAATTAGATTTTATCAAAATCGGAAATCAAGAAAAAAGAACTTTGTCAAAAACTCGTCTAACAGTGACTAAAGTGACTTTTCTTGTGGGTTAAGTCACACAAAAGGTCGCGAGAGACACCGTTCCTATGTAAAGATTCCAAAACCCCACTTTCTATGTGTAAAACTTTTACAACAAGATTTTATATAATTTCTTATCTATTAAACAATTCATTAAGATAATTGAAGATTATTATATATGGCTCATTATCTCACAATGAAGACTCTAGTTTCAACATTTTTCTCCCCATCAATCACATGCTTATTTGTCAATTTGCCTCTGACCATCAAATGAAATGTGAATAATCCGTCCTCTTCTCTTTGAAAGAAGGGAAGGAAAAACAAAGACATGTCCAATGCAAACCTCATTTCCAAAAAAAACATGTCAGTAGGGATAAGGATTCAAAGACTTTGACTTTTACACATTTTTCTTTCTTAATGTGTGCCATGCAAAAGCAAAAGAAGATATCATCCAAAGATATCATCCAAAAGACTTTTATGCAAAAAAAGATATAACGTGTGAAGATTAAAAGCAATACCACAAACTAGGGGTGAGCAGCGGAACCGGGTACCCGGTTATGGAACCGGAACCGCCTTGGAACCGTCGGTTTCGGAACCGGAACCGATATGAGTGGTTCCGGTTCCTAAAATACGGAACCGATTGAGAATGGTTCCGGTTCTCAATTTTTCGTAATCGTTACCCGCCGGGTACCCGATATTTTTCAATAAAAAAATAATTATTATTTTCTAATACCAAATTTATATTAGGTTTACATCTTGAAAGCACGCGTCATCTTCATTCTTCATCTAAATTCTTCATATAAAATGATTCGTATTTCTTCAAATTGTGTGTTCATATGGATTCATAGTATGTAATCTTTAAACTTTGAACATTTACTATTATAGTATGTAAACGTTAAACTTTGAACATTTTCTATCAGTCTTATGATTTGTAATCGTTAAACAATATTTGTAACCATTATTCTATATAATTTGTATTCTTGCTTATTTATTTAGTGTTTTGGCAATGTTTTATTTTTTATTTCTAAGTAACAAAATTTTAATACTTTAGGAAGCGGGTACCCGGAACCAGAACCGGTTCCCGGCGGTTCCGGTTCCGGTTCCAAAAATTTAAGAACCGCTC